AAAAAAAAAAATATATATATATATATATATATATATATATATATAGTGTTACACTTGAAAATCGGCCTGCTGTCTTTTTTCTCCCACGCGGCCCCCTCCTTGAATGCACAGCCCCTCACCTGCACGCTCCGCCTGCTTCAGGCTTCTCCAGGAGGTGGGTGCGAGACGTTTAGCACAACAAGTAAGAACGGGAGAGATACGAAGAGCAGCTGAGCTGCTGAGCAAAAAGAAAAACAATGGCTATTCTTTCAGAGATGGTTTGGATGTAAACCGTCAGATGAGCAGCAGAAAAATGTTTTCTGTAGACGATGCTGAAAACAAGTCTCGACAAAAGGTTGGAACTACAAATAATTTTCACCATTTAAAACAGCGCTATAAGCGGAGTATGAAGCGCGTGTGAAACTGCAGCTGCAGCTCCGATTGTGTTTTCAGCCTCCGTCCCTGAAACAAACCACGGGTCACAACTCATTTAGCCGCGCTGTGCCTTATGAGGGGAACAGTGAGGTGTTGCGACATTAATAAAGCTGTGGCTTATCATATCGCTAAAGACATGGTCCTTAGCGGCTAAGAAGACGGTTAATGCTTTAGCCGTCTTGTTCCACAGCCGAGACTGGGACCGTGTATTTATCAATATGATAAGCTGCTGATCGATTAATGTTGCGATGCCACCTTTCACTTTTCCTCTTATAACGCACAGCTAAATGAGTTTTATACCGTGGTTTGTTTCAGGGAAGGAAGCTGAAGTCTGTCGAACCTGCATATGCAGTTCACACATGCTTACAAACGTTGTGAAGGCGGCGCAGCTGAAGAAGATTACTTAATATATGTAAATAAAGGTCTAAAAAATTAACTGTTTAATATATGTAAATAGTTTATTTTTTAGAAATTTATTTTGTACAGTTACAGCTGCTTGCTATATGTGCCTGTGTGACAATTGGGACAAAGCTTTTCAATTTGGTCCATATCGCCCAGCCGTACTTCATACCGTTTTGTAATCTCACAGGGTTTTTTTCTTAAAGTATAAAAATTAAAAAAAAAAATAATTTTTTTTGTCTGATTCTTAAAGAACCACAACTCAAGAACTATAAACAACATTTCCTATTATTGGTTTTTAATTTGCTTTTTCAAAGAGCACAAAGTTTGAACCCATATATTTCTCCTTTATGGAGAGAATATTAAGAGTTAGTGTGGCGAGAAAGCACCTAAAACAAATTAATTAAAATAAATCTTCATTGCTTCAACCTGTTTTTCACTTCATCAAAACTCAAACTAATGAGATATAAAATAAAAATATGTCACTTTTCCTACATTAACAAGAGCCTTTGCGTTGGGATTTTCCTCCATATTAATCTTCTCCACACCTGAAGCTGTAAAAGTGCCTTTATCCTAAGTGGAATCTCATGTGTCGGTTCAAACTTCCCTGCTGGGTGAATTCCTGACCACAAACGCCACAACCAAACGGTTTCTCCCCTGTATGAACTGTGATGTGTGAATTCAGATGGGTTTTCCGAGTGAACCTCTTGCCACAAAAATCACAGCTGTGAGGCTTTTCTCCCGTGTGAACTGCCATGTGTGTACTAAGGTGCGTTTTACGGTTGAATCTTTTACCGCAAACCTCGCAGCCAAATGGCTTTTCCTCTGTGTGGACAGTCATGTGGGTCCTAAGATGAGTCTTCCGCTTATAATTTTTACCACAAACCTCACAGGCGAATGGTTTTTCACCTGTGTGGACTGTCATGTGTGCCCTAAGACTTGTCTTGCGATTAAATCTCTTGCCACAAAGATCACAACCAAATGGCTGTTCCCCTCCATGGACGATCATGTGCGTCTTCAGATTGTTTTGGTGCCTTGCTCTTTTACCACAAATATCACAAACAAAAGGTTTCTCTCCTGTGTGGATTCTCATGTGCGTTTTCAGATTGTGCTGATGCTTGAATCTTTTACTACAAACATCGCAGCTGAATGGCATCTCTCCAGTGTGAATTCTCATGTGAATCTTTACGTTGTGCTCGTGCTTAAAGCTTTTACCACAATTCTCACAGCTGAATGGTTTTTCCTCCGAGTGGACTCTCATGTGAGACTTAAGACTGAACATATCTCTAAATGTTTTCCCGCAAACGTTACAGCTAAAATTCTTCTTTCCTGTGTGGACTTTATTCTGGGGGTCAGAATTTTGTTTCACTCCAGAACGCTTCTGATTACCTGAACAGGTGGAAGCAGATTTTTCTGTATTCCGTCTCATGTGTCTCTTCAGGGACTGTTTGTACAAAAACTGTTTGCCGCATTCTGAGCAGCTGAAGGGCTTTTTGACTGAGCTACATCCCGCTGACTCTGCTGCTTGGCTTTTCACCAAACTATTGTCAGTCTCTGACAGAGTCCCCTGCCAATCTTCATCATCATAATCATCATCATCTTCTTCTTCTTCATCATCATCAGTCTCAGAGTCTGAATCCTCATCAATATTTGCTTGTGTTTTTCTGACTAGTTCCAGTTGTCCACCATCCTCTCCATTCATTTCCGTTTTGATCCACTTAAATGAACTGCTGGTTGGATGTTCTACTTCTTTGGGGCCACAAGATTTTTGCCTTTTAAGCTGTGAGGACTGAGGCTCTACTTCATCGTCTTCAGTTTTCACCACAACAGTTAATGGAAGTCTGCAGTGTTCAGTCTCATCCCGTCTGTAAAGATACTCTTCATCCTGACAGATCCAGAGGTCCTCCTCTTCCTCCTTGATGTGGTGGGAAAGTGGGGCCTGCTGGACAGTAGTTGTACCCCAAAGATGTTTCTCTTTAATCACAGAAGATGTGTGAACACCTGCAGGTACAAAGAAACATATATGAACAAACTTTATAAAACTTTTAGCAATTTAATTTAACATGAAATACAACATTGCTACCCTGGGAAAAACAAAAGCCCCCTGGATGGATGGATGGATGGATGGATGGATGGATGGATGGATGGATGGATGG